CCCCTCCCTACCATTGGTTTTGAACCATTTGTTGTTCCCTTGTCCCTAGGTTGGCCAACCCTCCTCCCTTCCCCTACCTCCCACACTCCCATGTCCCTGTGGGGCCATCGGTCCCTTTATTTTCTTCTCATATTTTTTTTGTCCAACTTCTCTTATCTAGGTGGGTGTACAGACATAACAATGTGTGAATAAAATTGGGATTGGCTTTGATCGCACAGCGCCAAAGCGGCTCATAAGAACCTGGTGATGATTGCTCATAAGAACCTGCAGCACTGACAAGCCCACAAACAAAAAAGCGACTGACATACAAAATTTAAAAGATGGGAAAAAAGGAAAAAAACAAACAAACCCGAACAGATAGGCTGAAAAAAAAAAAGAAAATGAAAAGAAGGAAAAAACAAACAAAAAAAAGCCTGTTAGTAGATCAAGGTAAATGACTCGACAGTACTTACCAATAACAACAAAGCATACTCTAAAATGTGACGATTATACAATTAAAACAAAAAACCCTCTTCCAGGAATGCATCTCACCATCTCCCTAACTGAAATGCGAACACTTTCCTTCTTTTTGATTTTGTCTGACACCCATGTACTAGCCAGCATAATAGCCACTCATGTACCAAGAGATTAGCATACTTCCCAGAGCGTCCGCATCATCAAGAGAATCTGGGCAAATGGGAGGTGGTGGGGGAATAATTGGTGGGCCAGAAGGAAATGGAGGTAGCCAGCATGATAGGAAAGGTGGTGGTGGAGGGGGTGGTCCATTGAACTTGAGGCTTGGCTTTCCTGGCCCCAGCCCGGATGCCTGCATTGGAGGGGTGGGGTAGGGGGAGCTCCATGGTGCGGCTTTAGACTTGGTATTTGGTTTGTTTCCAAGAGACCTGGAGGAACTCTCACTTTCATCTGTTGAAATTTGACTTTCGTTTTCATTCTCTTGAGCATTCTGGTCTACATTATGAACTCCTCCAAAGGTTGGGAGAAGTAGATCAGACAGATGTTGCTCCTCTCTGTTTCCATATTCGGTGTAAACCACAGCACAAGTTTCTCTCTTATGATCAACTGAAGTGATGGTAGCTGGGTAAATGCAGCCATCTTCTGACCAAATGGCGGAACATTTATCACCAACTTTCCACTGCTTCAGTGGAGTCATGACGGTCTTTTTCTTCTTAGTAGGCTTTCTTTTAGGTGTGAGTGTTGGTTTGTCAGTAGCTTCACAAATTTCTCCATTCTTTAGAGCATTCTTAAAGGAAGCTACAGCCTTATCATAGGCTTTGACCAATGCTGCATCATCCCACAAGTCAGAGTCATCGCTCTGGCCTCTTCCACGCAGGAACAGCGCGGCGTCTTCCCGCTCCAGAACGCCGCCGCCGCCACCCATTCATTTCCTTTTCCTTTAAAAAAACAAAAACAAAACGTGGCTGCTCTTGTGGTATCTGATCATTGCTTTGATTTGCATCTCTTGGATGGCTGGAGATCATGAGTATTTCTTTATGTGTTTTTGGCCATGGGCATTGTCTTTGATGAATTGTCTGTTCATGTCCTTTGTTCACTTTTTAATTAGGTTATTCTTTTTCTTATATGAGGTATTGGCAATTTTCTGTAGACTGTGTTGTTGTCAAAGATAACCCTATGCTGCACAGAAGTGTCTTACTTTCAGTAGACCCCAGTCATCTATTTTGGCCTCTACTGTGTGTTTTCTTCATTATATTTAATCGTGCATCTATGCTCTATAAGCCAACCTTAAATTAGTCCCTTATTTTCTTATCATTGATCTTTACAGCTCTGAGACTTACATTTAGGTCTTTGATGGGATGAGGTATGGGTCCCATTTCATTCTACAGATGGAAATTTAAGTTTGTAAAAATTTTTTAAATTAAAAATTTTAAATTCCAGCACTATTTATTGAAGAAGCTATGTTTAACCCATGTAATGTTTTTTGGCCATTTGTCAAAGATCTGTTGTCTATTGGTGGATATATTTATTTCTGGGTTCTCTATTATGTTCCATTGGCCTACGCATATATCATTATATCAGTATCAAGCTGTTTTAACTACAGTGGCTTTGAAATAAGTTTGGAGACAGGAGGAAATGAGAGGCCTCCTACTGTGTTCTTCTAAAGAATTTCTTTGCTTATCCTGGGAACAAACTTGGTTTCTATGAAATTATTTTTCCTGACAGTATCAGGAAAGTTCTTACTGCTTATTCTCTTTTCAATTTTAAATAGTTATATCCACAGGAAATTGCAAGGATAGCACAGAGTTATTCCAGGTACTTGTTGGTCCTAGTTACCACAATTATTACACTTTATAGAACTATATAAAGAAAAGACTGAAGTTTTTTCAGCCAAATCATATGCATGTGAAGCCTGGACAGTGAATAAAGAAAATTGCAAAAAATATTGATGGAATTGAATTATGGTATTGGCAAAGAATATTGAAAGTATGATGAAATGCCAGAATAGCAGACAAATCTGTCTTGAAAGTACAGCTAGAATAGTACTCTGGACTTTCATCGAGAGAGATCAGAGCCTGGAAAGGCACATCATGATTGATAAAGGGGAGTGCCATAGAAAAAGAGGAAAACCCTCAACTTGGGGGACTGACATAGTGGCTGCAAAGATGGGCTCAAACAGAAGAACGATAATGGGGACAGCACAGAACTGGGTTATGTGTTGCACTGCTGCACACAGGTCCACCATAGTCCTCCAAATCCATACGGGTCGGAGATGTCTCAATGGTACCTAACCACCACACAAGTGATACAACAGCATTGCATTGTACTCTTCTCAGCAGCGCACGAGCTCGGGCATTCAATGCAAATGCAGTAAAATGAGTAAAATTCAGACTGTGAGCAGTGTCCCTGCACAGGGATGACATGTAAATTTGAGGAACATTCCATAATTTTGAGCATGAGCATTTTTAGAAAAGTAAAAATTGTCTTTATGTCCCTGCATTAGTAGACATGACAATATACAAATTTGAAAGCACATGGGACAATATAGGACAAACTTTCATTATTATTTCAATAATTCAAGTGCATTAGTTCTTCTGTGATCTTCTTTATTCATCATTGAGCTTTTGTATCCATAGACGATTGAAAATACCAAACCTTACTCCTCAGAGGAATGTCTTTGCTCTTTAACACTTTGAAGAAGTCGTGGGTAACACATTTGTCCTATGAAATACACTGTTTGATGTTTTCATTGCTGCTTTCATAAACATTGACTGTGGATCCAAGTAAAATGAAATCTTTGATAATCTCGATATTTTCTCTTTTTATTATGATGTTGCCTATTGGTCTAGTTGTAAGGATATTTGATTATTTACATTCAGTTGTAATCCATACAGTCAGGTGCCTTTGGATGGTCAATAAATCACAAGTGACACTTTTGGGGCATTCTCTGATTTTAGCCGAGGACTATCTGAGGTCAGCAATAATACCCCTCATTCCATGTTCTCTTTTGAATCCAGTTTCAATTTCTGACAGTTCCGTACAGAGGTCCCGCTGCAACCATTGTTGATTTATCCTCAGAAAGATTTTACTTGCAGATTTTTCTTGATCTCAATGATATTGTCCATTAATATGCACATTCATTTGGATCACCTTTGGAAAGGGTACAGATATATATAGCTTTTCCTGTTGGTTGGAGAGGTAGCGATCTTCCAGACTTCTTGGCATAGACTAGTAAGTACTTCCTGTACTGCAGCAGCTTGCTGAAACATTTCAGTTGATGTTTCACTAAGCAGCCTTGTTTTTCCACTAAAGCTTTCTCTGGAGCTTGGTCTTCTTCCCTACATACCAAGCCTCTTGATCACGTACTACCTCTTGAAATAATTAGATGTCAGCAAGTTCCGTTTGGCACAGTGATTCCATTTATTCCTTCTATCTTTTTAATGCATTGACTTGTTCAATATTTTTTCTATAGAATTCTTCAATATTGCATTTTAAGGCATTGATTTTTCTCTAATTCTTTCACTTTGAGATCTGCTGAGCGTGTTCTTCCTCTTCGGCTTTCCAACCCCAGGTCTTTTCACATTTCCTTATCATAGACATGACTTACATGTGCTAACACCTGTGAAATTCATCATGGTCAAGGTGTTATTCTAGGTAGACTAGAGAAACCTGTCCATTATTATCATAATAATTTCACAAATCACTACTGGTAGGTGGGTGTTGATTGAATTGGCTGAAAATGTAACCCAGGTTTCCTGCATAGAATGCCAGAATTCTATTACTGAACCAACCAAAAAACAAAACAAAAACCACCACCAACAAAAACAAACAAACAAACAAAAGTCCACACACAAACACACAACAAAACTCACTGCTAGCAAGCCAATTTTGACTCACAGAGATTGAGCCAGAGCTGCGCCCCCTCCCCCCCAATAATATGTTCACTCTCTTATTGCCATTGAGTCAATCGGACTCGTCGTGGCTCCGTAGGGAAGAACAGAACCGTCCCTGTGACTTTCTGACTATGAATCTCTTTGGGTTTCTGAGACTAGACATCTTTAGTTGAGTAGAAAGTCTCATTGATCAATTGAGGAAGGAGTCTGGTCACACAGTGGTTAAGAATTTGGCCGCTAACTGTAAGGTTGGTGATTCAAACCCACTCAGAAGCTTCACTGGAGATGATCTGGTGAACTGCTCCTTCTCACGTGGGACTGTTAAGAGCCAACAAGAGACTTGAAGGCACCTGTCAACAACCACTGTGGGAGCAGTATTTAGACAAGATGACTAGAGGCAGCAGGCAAGCAACTTCAGGGTTCACACTAGCTGATAAAGAAAAATGCAAAATCATTATCATGAGTGAGATAGTTGTATAAGGCTTTTTCTTTATAAAATTATTATCAGGTTAATGTATTTAATATTTATAACAACTAAGTCAAGGTAGGTCTTTAAAGATGAGAAAACGGAACTGTGACAAGTTCCAAGTCTCCTATCTAGTCAGAGAGTAGAACTGAGGATAGGTGGTAGCTAATCAATACTGATTTGTTGTTTCATGCTGTTAAGGCTACACCAATGTTCTTACAACAGACATGCACATTGTATTCGTCAGCGCAGAGATGGTCCAGGCATCTTGGGCTGTTGAGTTAATTCTGCCTCATGGTGACCCCTGGGTTTCAGAATAGACCTGTGCTCCGTAGGTTAGCGATGGCTTTTGCCTTTCGAAGAAGATTACCACACTTTTCTTCTGAGGCACCTCTGGGAGATTCCAACTGCCAACCACTTGGTTAGTATCTAAGCACCTCACCATTTGTGTCACCCAGGAACTCCAGAGGTAAAATAAATCAAAGAAGATTAAAGACACTTTCTCTGCTATGGAGTTAGTCCCCCAGTTTCCAAGGCTGCCAATATTTACAGCAGCCGGAAGCCTGACCTTTCTTCTGAGGAGTACCTCGGGCGTCTGAACTGCTCCGCTGATGACTAGCAGCTCACTTTGTAACTTACAGCACAACCAGGGCCCCCTGAAAGAGAAAATAAGCCCCCAAACTCACTGCCAGCAAGTCGATTCTACGTGACCCTGTAGGACAGGGCAGGATTGCTCCTGTGGGATTATGGGACTGTAGCACTTTCCTGGAGTAGGAAATTTCATCCTTTTCCTGAGGAGCAGCTGGTGGTGTTGAACTACTGACCTTGCAGTTAGCAGCCTACACATAACACTATAACAAAGAGGACCTTTTGTACAAAGATATCACTTTATCCAAAAGTCTGTCAAGGAAATTTTTGCTGGTCCAATATTAATTTCTTTAAATGCTGTCTCAACACAAAATTGAGAACCTGTTTGGAGGCTGTTTTGTTCTTCTGTTAAGCCCAGTAATCAGCCATTCAAACCATCAGATTCTTGTATACCTGTGCCATTACATACCTGTCTTAATTGCCCTGGGGTCCTAAGGAGAGTTCCTATGGTCCCTCAGTCTGTATAAATACTTCAAATGCCCACTATCCAGAAAGCCAGTGCCGTCGAGCTAATCACACGTGGTTAGCAGGACAGAAGCCCTGTCTTACAGCGCCCACTTGCTCCTCGTATAACCTCCTGTGTGACCCTGTATCACGGAAGGGTGTGCCTCCCTGCTTCAGGGAACTCTGAGAATGCCCAACCGAGTTATTTTTCATGGCCTCCCTGATTCCTCCGTGTCACACATCCCTCCTGACTTATCATCCCACAAATTGGTTAGAACAGATGGTCACATAAAATAAAAGCAAATAATACTTCTGAAGCTGTCACAAGCTTTTCCTGAGCCTGATGTGACCATAAGAACTGTATAAACTGACAAAGAACTGCCTGGGTACACAGAATATATGGTGAAAGCTCAGGTGATTTTAATACAGATTTGTCGATTCAAAATATACTCAAAGTATGTTAAGCATAAAAAT